CTACGACTACTACTACTACTACGACTACTACGACTACTACTACTACTACTACTACTACTACTACTACTACTACTACTACTACTACTACTACTACTACTACTACTACCAATGGTAGCAGTAGTGGGAATCATAATGGTCATGCTGCTGCTCCTCCTACTTCTGCCGATGCTTATGCCAACATATGTTCCTTGTCCCTGGCCCCCCTCCCACAGTATCCTCCTCCTCCTCCTCCTCCCATCCTTTCCATCATCACTCCTCATCACTACTCACTATCCGTATATAGTCCCAGTCAGCCACCTCGCGGGCCAATAGGGGATCTACCCGGGGAGTCCGTCCTACCCATCGAAAACAATACAGGGTCGACGCTTCCCGTTGAAAATGGACATTTTGCCGTCGACGTTGCAAACTGCGTGGTGGAAATGGGACGGGGCGCACATTGCGCGAAGGGCGACATGTCGCTTTCGCGTCGGCGACTCGCTTATTTCTTGAGAGTTGCGTTCCTGCTTGGGCGTGGCACACAGCTCTCGCTCGCCAGCTCGTCGACATCAGGGCCGCGCGCGAGACGTCGCTCTCGCTCCGTCGCCGCGCGGATTTCGCCTGAAAGTGACATTCCCGCTGGGGCACGGCGCATGCTTTCGGGGGCGGCCAAGAGAGAGGGGCGTCCAAAAGGGGGGGGGGGGGGGCGCGCAAATCATGGCCAGCGGTACGTACGCGCGCGGCCCAGGGGGGGAGGCGGGGACGTATGGAAACAAGAAGGGGCGCCATGAAATCTGGGGGAACACCATGGCCCTGGCCATGGTATCCCCCCCCCGCCCCCCCGGTCACCCGCCCCCGATGCTTCCCACTCGCCAAGCTGCTGGGGGCCAGGCCGCGCGCGAGCGGGCGAAAGGTCGCCCCAGCCCAAGAAGGCCCCGTGCAAGCCTCGCCTGGGCATGGCGTTCCCGCTGCGCCGCACGTTTTTCGCTCGCCGGCTCGGGGGGGAAGCAGCTGCGCGGCCGCGTTCCATCGGACACTTGGCCGCGCGAGAGAAGGCTGAATGGTGCTCTCGTCGCAGTGCTTCGCAGAGGCTCGCTGAGATCCGCTCGCGCCCGTGCGCGGTTCGTGCTGTTCCCCTCGCCAAGTCGTCGGAAGCGGGACCGCGCGAGAGCGCCTTCCGTTCGCTAGGTGGGAACGCGCACCAATCCGAATATCAAAGTGTGCCGGCATTCATTCTTATGTTGCGGGGTGGAAGGCCCGCCGAGTCGTTCGACCTGGCTGGCTGCACTGCTTCTCCTCCTCCTCCTCCTCCTCCTCCTCCTTCTCTTCTCCCACCCCCGTGTGGCTCTCGCCTTAGCGCCGCGCGCATTCGTTTTCAAACGTTGCAAGATTTTCACGGATTGAGGGCGGGTGGTTTTCGAAATGTGGCTCTCGCCTTGGCGCCGCGCGCGCTCGTTTTCAACATGTGCAAAAGTTTCACGGATTGAGGGCAGTTCTTTTTCAAAATGTGGTTCTTGCGTTGGCACCGCGCACATTTGTTTCTTTCTGCCAAAAACAAATTTGCAAGAGTTTCACGGATTGAGGGCACTTTCTTTTCAAAATGTGGATCTCGCCTTAGCGCCGTGTACACTCGTTTTAATCATTTGCAAGGGTTTCACGGATTCCCATGGCCAGCGTACCAGAAATGGTGTTTTAGAAAGATTCTGGATCATGCGGGCGCAACAGTTATGTCGATTCGCGGTGTTGCAACTCCGAAAACGGTGTCCTGGCGCGATTCCCGATCGTCAAGACGCAACAGTCAGCTTGATACGTGGCGTTGAAATCCAGAGAACAATGTTTTGGCACGCTTCAGGATCTTCAAATGGTTGTCCTCCACCGAGGCAGTTCCCTCAATGGAAATGAACCGTTGTCGGGGCCTGAGCTTGGAGGGAGGGTTCATTCCAACATCGTTGATGACTCTTGGACTTACACTGGTCCTCCCCCTCCTCCTCATCCTCCTCTTCCTCCTCCTCCTTCCTTCTCTTTATCAACCTGCTCCTGCTCCTGCCCCTCCTCCTCCTCCTCCTCCTCCTCCTCCTCCTCCTCCTCCTCCTCCTCTCTGTCAACCTGCTCCTGCGTCTGCTCCCCCTCTTGCACCTCCCGTCCTCTCTTCCACCTTCTCCTCTCCCGCTCCCTGGCTCCATGTCCCCTCACTTCAAGAGATTGCGGGAGTGCAATCACCCCTCGGACTCTAAGGACAATGCTGTGATCCCTGAGGATATCGTGCGAACTGTTAGCTTGTTGTCCTAAGACTCAGGCTGCAGGCGTACCCAATACAATCCTCTTACTCCTTCTCCTCCGCTGCTTTTGCTCCTCGTCCCCCTCCCCCTCATGCTCCTCCTCTTCCTCCTCCTCCTCCTCCTCATCCTCCTCGTCCTCCTCCCCCTCGTCCTCCTCCTCCTCTGCCTCCTCGTCCTTCTCTTCCTCTTCCTCTTCCTCCTCTTATTTTTCTTCTTCTGCTCCCCCCATTCCTCCTCCTTCTCCTCCTCTTCTTCTTCTTCATTATTCTTCTTCTTCTTCTTCCCCCTCCAACTCCTCTCCCCCCCCCCATCCCCCTTCCCCCCTCCCCCTCTTGCTCCCCTCCCCCCCCTTGCTTCGCGGCAGTCCCGGCCTTCCCGTCTGCCAGGCCCTCCCCCGGGCGCACCTCGCCGCCGCCGCCGTCGCCCTCCGACTCGCCCTCGCCCTCGCCCTCCGATTGCGCCTTGGGGGGTGGGGAGGGGGCCGCGCCGACGGGCGCCCTCTCGAAGCGTCCTGGAGGAAGGTGGAGGAGGCAAGGAGGAGGAGATGAACGAGGAGGAGGAGGAGGCGGAAGGGGAGGAGGAGGAGGAAGAGGAGGTGGAGGACGAGGAGGAGGAGAGGAGCAGGAGAAGGAGGAGGAGGAGGAGGAGGGGCAGGAGAAGGCGGAGGAGGACAAGGAGGAAGGGGAGGAGGAGGAGGACAAGGGGAGGGAGGAGGACCAGTGTAAACCCAAGAGTCACCAACGAGGTTGGAATGAGCCCTCCCCCAAAGCTCCCTCTTCATAGGCCCCTACAACGTTTCATTTCCACAGAGGGACCTGCCTCGTTGGAATGCAACCGTTTGAAGACCCTGAAGCCGCGAAAACATCGTTCTCGGTATTCCAACGCCACGGATAAACCTGACTGGTGCGTCTTGACGATCCTGAATCGTGCCGGAACGCAATTCCTGGAACTTCAACACCGCAGATCATCATAATTGTTGCGCCCCCATAACCGTGAATCTTTCCCAAACACAGTTTCTGCTACGTCGATCATGGAAATCTGTAAAACTCTTACAATGCGCGTTGAAGGAATGTGCGCGGCACTAAGGCGAGAACCACATTTTGAAAAGGAGCCGCCTTCAATCCGTGAAACTCTAGCAAATTGTTGAAACGACTGTGCGCGGCGCTAAGGCGAGAACCACACTTTGAAAACCGCCCGCCTTCAAGCCGTGCAACGTTTGCAAATTTCTAAACGAGTGTGCGCAACGCTGAGGCGAGAACCGCATTTTGAAAACCATCCACCCTCAATCCGTGAAGCTTTCGCCATTTCTCAAAACGAATGTGCGCGGTGCTAAGGCGAGAACCACAGTTTGAAAACCGCCCGCCCTCAATCCGTGAAGCTCTTGCAATGTGTGTTGAAAGATGCGCGCGGCGCTAAGGCGCACACCACAATTTGAAAGCCACCCGCCCTCAATCCGCGAAGCTCTTGCCATTTTTTGAAACGACTGCGCGCGGCGCTAAGGCGAGAACCACATTTTGAGAACCACCCGCCCTCGACCCGTGCAACGTTTGCAAATTTCTGAACGAACGTGCGCGGCGCTGAGGCGGGAGCCGCATTTGGAAAATAATCCGCCCTCAATCCGCGAAGCTCTTGCGTTTCTTCGATCGCATGTACGCGGCGCTAAGGTGGTGGCCGCATTTTGAAAACCATCCGCCCTCAATCCGTGAAGCTATTGCAATTTGTTCAAGCGAATGCGCGCGGCGTTTCTGAAAACGACCCGCCCTCAGTCCGTGAACCTCTTGCAATTTGTTCAAGCGAATGTGCGCGGCGCTGAGGCGAGAACCACATTTTGAAAACCACCCGCCCTCCATCTGTGAAGCGGTCGCCAATTTGTTCAAGCGTATGTGCGCGGCGTTTGTGAAAACGACCCGCCCTCAATCCGTGAAGCTCACCACTTGTCGCCCGTGCTGTGCGATCAACAATGTTTGAAATGCCACGGTTGCGCCCGCGCCTGCCGCCTCCGCTCGCGGCCGTTGGTAATGCTTGCGCGACCATCTGCCCCAGGAGGGGAATCTGGTACGAGGGCGCTGGATGCTCGAAACGGCAGCGCGCGGCTGCGCCGCCCTGGCGGAGTTCGTAGGCAGGGAGAACTGCCTACACAGAGATATCAAGGATAATTGGCCCTCGAGAAACCGAAAACTGGCCCCGCGGGCTCGCGGTGTCCTACTTGAGCCAAAGTGGCAATTGACGGTGGGGGAGGCAAAGACAAATGGAGGGGGCGGGGCAGCAGAGCGGAACGGGAGGGGCATGGGGGGGGGGGGCAAGAGGAGACAGTAGTCCCGTAGTCATTTCGACGATGAAAATGGTGGAGAGGACCGGCGGCGTGGGGCCTGGCGTGGCATTTTGAAACTTAGAGGGGCCGCGACAATGCTTGCTGATAGTCTGCTCTCGGCCACGGAGCGTGACTGGTCGGACAGAGCGCATTCTCTGCTGGATACTGGGCACTCGTAACCAGAATCCAATGCTGTTCACCTTGGCTGGTTTTGGGTACAACCGCGAGGGGGAGATGGCACGACGTTTGTCAGTGATAATGCCTACCTGGATCTCATCGCGATGCCTACAGTCGCGACGCCTACTGCAGTGAAGCGGTGCTGACAGGACCTTACTTCAAGAAGATGCTCCAGCAGTTTTCGCTCTGCGAGTGCAAATGGCACAGCGCATGCAGCGAGGTGAACGTCACGCTCAAGTGGGCCCAAGTGGTCGTTCTCGGTGGAGCTGTTGCACCGTCCATGTACCACCATATCTTTGAACGTGTTCATCCAACGGTACCCCTACCGCTACTCCCCAGACCTCACCACCGGTGCGCTCGGACCAGAACGTCGAAGATAATCCATCCGCCATCCGCGGCATCAACGGATTCCCAGTGTGGGAAGCGGCATCTGTGTCTTGACCTTCCCTGGAAAAGAAAGAAATCAAGCAGGGCGTCTTTTTCCTCGAGTCATGCGGAGATTGTAGTAGCAGCTGGAGAAGATGAAGGCGCCCAGCATACGGCGCTGGGATTTACTAGTGTTCTGGCGCGGCCTATGATCGAAAGGGAATAGGTTTCAGCACCGGAAAGACTTCTGGGGATGCAGGACGACTCCTGAGCGTCAACCGAAGTATACACCACTGGTGGTTGAACTGACTTTTTCAGCTTGTCACGGGGATGAGTCGACAAGACACAAGAGCTCGTCATATTGACGGAAAAAGACAATCGACTTGCAAACCGTGTGAGGCGCGTGGGCCACTGGCTGGCAACATTGATGGTAGGTGGCACCGTCATATCGCAAGTGGTGTGTATACATACATATACATATATATACATATATATACAGAATCATCAGGTGCAGGATTATCTCGTGAGTGGTTTCGTCTATTCTCTGGGGGATCGCTCGAAACGAAAAATGGCGTTCCCAACCAAATCGCGATGAGAGAAATCGAACCGCAGACCGAATACACTGAAAACGACCGTCTAGAGCCAGGCCCAGCGCGGCCGCCCGACCTGCAAACGCAGCGTCACAATGATGAGTTCAGTAGCGCAGTAGGCTTCGGACATCATCAAGATTCAAGATCCTCCTCATTTGGCCACATCTAGTATAGACGCAGGCCTCCTTTTATGGCTCCCCTGTTGCTCACGCCAGATCAGCAGTCCACATCGAGACGCTTCTCTGCGGATCCTTCTGGCCCAGGCCCACCAAACAACAATAACTCGCCCCCTCCCCCTCCGCAGGGCCACCCTGTCGGGCGCTGATCACGGTAGTCGTGCTGCCAAAAGGGGCGCCAGACAAGGAACGAACCCCCCTTTGCAGGGCCCAAGGAACGCCTGGGTGCACGATGAGCGACAGAGGAACAAGCATAGAAGGAACATCGAACCCCTTCCGACTCCGAACTGCTTTTAATTTTTGTACAAAGTCAGGATGCCACAGAAGCGACAACGCTCCCCCGCGCGTGCCCGCAAAGACCCGGCGCAGTGAACTGCGAGGGGAGGACTTGCCAGTAGACGGTAAAACTCTGATCGATGCAGGAGGGCGGCGTTCTTCCTGCCGCTCCCCTCCGCCCCCCCCCAGAGCGGACAGCGGCGCTCCCCGGCCAGCCAGAGCCCACCTCGCAGTCTCGCCGGGTGCCCGCGCGCACGGCGCAGCATCGGCCCTCCTCCTTCGCCCCTCCTGGCTCGGGCCGCCGCGCCCGCCGCCCCGCCCTCGCGCAGTGCGCCCCGCCGAGCTGCACCAGAGGTCCGCCTCGTCGCCGCCGTCGCCCTCGGCCGCCGCTCTCTCGGCGCCCGCCCCTCGCGCTGCCGAGCCACAGCCGCCGTGCAGCCGTGCGCAGCGCCCGAGCAAGGCGCGAGTGGGGGGCGCTCCTGGCCGCGGCGTGCCTCGGCCACGAGCGGGCCCCGAGACCCCGGGAGCGGCCCGACGGCGAGGGCCCCCCCACCCGAACCCCAGAGCGTGCTCCTCCTCCTCCTCCTCCTCCTCCTCCTCCTCCTCCTCCTCCTCCTCCTGTGCTCCTCCTCCTCCTCCTCCTCCGCCTCCTCCTCCTCCTCTCCCTCCTGTCCTCCTCCTCCTCCTCCTCCTCCTCCTGCTCCTCCTCCTCCTCCTCTTGCTCCCCCTCCTTCGTAATTTGTCGCCCCCCCCGCCGTTGCGCAACGCCCGAGCGGGGGCCCCGCCTGCGGCTCCGGGGACGCGCTCCCCTCGGCCTCCCCCGGGCTCGCCGGGCTCGCCTCGGCGGGGGGGGCGGCAGGCGGAGGGCCCTCGGTGGATGGGGCGTCGCAGGAGGCGGTGCCACCGGCCGTCGCCGTCGCCGCCGCCGTCGGAGGAGGAGGAGGAGGAGGAAGAGAATGAGAATGAGAAGGAGAAGGAGAAGGAGAAGGGGAAAGGGAAGGAGGAGGAGAAGGAGGAGGAGGAGGAGAGGGCGGATGAGGGTGAGGATGAGGAGGAGGGTGAGGATGAGGAGGAGGAGGAGGAGGAGGGGGAGAGAGAGAGGAGGAGGAAGCGAGGAGGAGGAGGAGGAGGAGGAGGAGGAGGAGGCGGATGAGGGGCGGAATGAGAAGGCGGATGGAGGATGAGATGAGGAGGCGGATGAGGATGAAGGATGAGATGCGGATGCGGAGGAGGATGAGATGACGGATGATGAGATGAGGAGAGATGAGGATGAGGATGATGAGAGATGAGATGAGGATGAGGATGAGGAGAGGATGAGATGATGATGATGAGGATGATGATGAGATGATGATGATGATGAGATGGATGATGATGATGATGATGAGGAGGAGAGGAGGAGGAGGGAGGCTGAGGAGGAGGAGGGAGGAGTTAGGAGGAGAGGAGGAGGAGGATGAGAGGAGAGGAGGAGGGGAGGAGGAGGAGGAGCGAGGGATGAGGAGGGAGCGAGGAGGAGGAGACGAGTAGAGGAGGAGGCGGAGGAGGAGGAGGAGGAGGAGGAGGAGGAGGAGGAGGAGGAGGAGGAGGAGGAGGAGGAGGAGGAGCGAGAAGGCGGCCGGATGATATGAGGAGGAGGAGGAGGAGGAGGATGGAGCGCAGGGAGGCAGGAGGGAGGAGGCAGGAGGAGGAGGCGAGAGGAGGAAGACGAGGAGGAGAGGAGGAGGAGGAGGAGGAGGGAGAGGAGGAGGTTAGGAGGCAGGAGGAGGAGAGGAGGAGGAGCGAGGAGGGTGGAGGAGGGCGAGGGAGAAGGAGGAGGAGGAGGTCGATGATGGAGGAGGAGGAGGAGGAGGCAGGAGGAGGAGGAGGCGGAGGAGGAGGAGGAGGAGAGGAGGCAGGAGGAGGAGGAGGAGGCGGAGGAGGAGGAGGAGCGCGCGCGCAGCCGCCGAGACCGGGGCCGATGGCCAACGTCGGCGACCACGAAACGACGGCAGGCGACGGGGCGGCTCCTGGGCGCGGGTGCTCAGCGCACCCGCGCACTCCAGGGCTGCTGGGAGATGCGCCGCGCGGGCGCCTCCGCCCGTGCGGCCCGCGGGCGGCATTCCGTGCCTCCGCAGCTGCCGCGCGGGAGGGCCCGGCCCGTCACGAGCAGGCTCGTTCAAGTTATGGCGGCCAGCATTGCCGAGGGGCTCACTTGCACTTCTGGGCCAAGCCCCTGCCGCAGTCTGTGCAATAGAACATTGGGATCACAGGATGGACCTCGACATGGTAGGTCCGATGGGGCCTCCTGGTCCGCACCTGCAAGGTCTGGCAGGCCTGCGGGAGACAGGCCTGGGGATTGCCCCCGCCCGAGCAGGGGGAAGCCAACCAAGCCTTGATCTCCTTGCGGCCCCCCGTCCCGGACAGACGCTCCGCGCAACACAACCTCCAGGAACCCCAGACACCCTCCATCTTGATGGTGTGGTCCGAGGCTAGCATGGTCCGCTGGAGGCTTGCGAGACGGAGCTGAGATGGTGGAGGCTGTGCCCTGTCGGCCCTCAGGCGCACGTCAACCTCAACACAACGCTCCACCACCACAACCAAACGGTGCCGAACGAGTCTGGCGTGGGTCTCCAACTGGGCGACGCGCTCCGTGCCAGCGGGGGCGTACTGGCAGCGCATCGCTGCCGTCTCTGCTATCGTATCGGCATGGTCGTTGCCGAAGCGCCAGAAGATCTGGTATGGCAAGTTCTGCAGCACGGGTACCATCAGTATGGCTTTCTACATCATTGAGGTGGAGCTCGAAACCTAACATTTGGTGACACGGGGGGCCCCCAAACATGTCGCCACAAGTCGCGATTCCGCCTTCCTAACATCTGGGGCCCCCTCCCAACACCTCGCACGACATAGCTGGAGTCAGTGATGTCGTGGCGGCGGCGCTCCGGCTCCCCATGGGCCAACAGCCACACCGGTGCAGGCATCAGCTCAGCCCTGCTCATCGTCTGGGCCAGCCCGGGAATGCTCCCCACGGGGTCCCTCGGGGAGCCCGTGACTGGGGCAGCGGAGGCGGCGGAAGCCAGGAGGACACATCCCCAACCGCAGCTACTGACACCCGTTCCATCGCCTGCCCCGACCACTCGCTCCTTAGGTGGGTGGGTGGATTGTCCGAGGCCGTGAGACCAATCGAAAGAAGCAAGATCTTCAGATAGGCCAGGAACGGCCGTCCAAGATCGGGGGATCATACCCCTCAGCCAGAAGCGTGGGGTGGCCTCCACCTCTTGGACGGCTTGCTCACCGAGATGGTCTGACTTCTGGCACTGTGGACTGCGGCAGTTTCCCGGGCACTGCCAAACGCGATGGAGGACCCTCTCAATAATCCCAAGCTCGCACCTGGTACATCTCCGTTCGCCAGATGGGATCAGGTAAGCCTGTCGCGGGTCCAAGAACTCGCACAAAGCAGTGTGAGGAAGCTGCTCCGATATCTCTGGGCCGTGGCCAACGAAGACTTGCTGAACTTATCAACAAGACGCCGCTGGGTGAGAGAGTCCGCCCCATCCTCCAAAGCGGCTCCGTCGTGATGCTTGCTGGCCCCGCGTGACCGCTGTGCACACAGCGATTCGCGAAACGCGTCGAAGAAAGGCTCACAATCGATGGCGGCATTGGCAGACGGCAGAACTAGGGCCAACTCTTCTCCCGAAAGCAGCCGATTCATGAGATCATTCGCTCCCTGGACACACGTCCATCCCGCCTCGAGCCCGTGGCGAAACGAGGAGGTGGATGACGACGCTACAGGTTGTCTTCTCTTGAATGTATGTGGACAACATGCCGCTGATCCTGCCCTCGCCACCCCTCCTCTTGTCGTCCCTCTCTCCTTCCCGCTCTCCCTCTCCCCCCCTCTCCCCGCCCACCTCCCTCTCCCGCCCCCCCTCCCCCCACCTTTTCCGCCTCCGTCCCCGTTTCCCTTTCCTCCTACCTTTCCCCCCCTTCCCCCGCCGGTTCCGCTTCCGCCGCCTCTTCCTCGTTTTCCTCGTCCTCTTCCCCCATCCCTTTCCTCATCAAAACCTCCTCGCAATCGCACCCCACGGGCGTGTCGGCAGGGCGGGCAGGGCGCTTCGCCTGCGACTTCTCTACCAACTATGGCTCTGAAGCTCGAACCTCGCTTTAGCCCAGCGCACATTCGTTTCCAATGGATGCAGCCGCTTCAAGGATCGATGGTGCGTCCTCGTAAAAATGTGGCCTTCGCTGGGGCGCCACGCGCATCCGTCTTTCAAGTCTGCAGCAGTTTCGGAGGATTCGCACGGTTAAAGTCCGAAGGACGGCCTTCTGGCACGATTGGGGATTCTCAGACTGTTGTTCTCAATCGCGGCGCTTCCCGCCATGAGCATAAATTCTTGAAGGGGCCCATGAGGAGGGAACCTAGAGGGATGCTTTTATTGCAGCATCGTTGACGCGCCTTTGGCCTGCACTGGTCCTTCCTCTCCCTCTTCCCCCCCCTCAACAGACCGCTGTGGCGTCCGCGCGAGCCCCCAGGGCTACAGTCGGGGCGCTGAACAAAGAACCCTTTTTGTTGGGGAGGGGCTCCGTGTTCCTTGATTGTTTCGCAGCCTGCGTGAGGTTGTCCTCAGGTTTTCGATGGGGAAGCGAAGTTTAACTTATGGAAAAGAGGGGCTTCGTTCCTTATTTAGGGTTCCTTATGTCAGCGCCCCGATTGTAGTTCCCCCCCCCTCTTCCCCCCCTCTCCTTGCGCAGCGGCATCGGCCGTCCCCAGAGGTCGCCGCGTCGCGCCCGACGCCCGGCCGCGCGGCCGCGCCGTCGGGGCCGACGCGTGGCCGAACCCCTGCCGGTGGTACGTGCAATCGGGGCGCTGACCTAAGGAGCCCTGAAGAAGGAACGGAGCCCCTCTTCTCCATAAGTGAAGCTTCGCTTCCCCATCGAAGACCTGAGGACAATCTCGGGCAAACTGCGAAAACAATTGAGGAACACGGAGCCCGTCCCCAAGAAAAAAGGGTTCCTACATCGGCGCTCCGAAAGTTTATTCCGATTTGAGAGGCACGGCGCCGCGCGAATGCAGAGCAAACGCTATGCTGGAAAGGCGCGGCAACGCGTGCCTCCTGGACAGGCGCGAGCAGCCGCGCCCCCGCGCGAACCCCGGTCCCGCGCGGGGCGCGCTCCCGTGTGACAGCGGCTCACCCGGGAAACCGTTTCTCGTGCAGGAGGCTCTGCCCTTGCATTGTACCGGGCCCCTCCGGCCAAACGGGGTGCTGGGCTGCCCATCGGCGCGCCGACTCTGCCCTCGCGACATCGCCCCCGTCCGCCCTCGGGCTCCGCGAGTCCTATCCTGCGCGCGCCATCCCAGATGGCCCCGGCGAGCACGGTGGCGAAAGTGGGGGAACTTTCGGATCGGCGCAGTAGTTCAGCGCCCCGACTGTAGGGAGGAAGGAAGGAAGGAAACGCTGCGGGGGGTGTCCCGCGCCCGTGCCTACGGAGGCGCCGGGCTCGCTAGCCTCGTGGAAAAATCAATCTTGCCACCGCTTGCGGGGGCGCCCGGTCAGTCGGACACCTTCAGGATTCCAGTCTACCAATATATTCGACCACCGCCGGTCTCCACACTGAACAATTTGTCGTCGAAAATCCCCCTATAGGGGGACACGCCCGACTTAAGCCTAGCTCTTCTCCCTCGTCCTCCTCCCCCGGCCTCGACGACGGTGGCCTCACTGGAGCTCTCTGCTGGGGGAGCTATCTGGGTTGGTGGCGCTCTGTTTGCGCGCAGGCGGGGGCGGACAGGCCCCGCCCTCCGCTAGGGGACCGCATGCGAACCCTACCCCTACCCCCCACGATTTCTGAGGGGGAGGGTGGGGTTCACTTCGCTTGGGAGCTCCCGAACGAAGTGAGCCCCACCCTCCTCCTCAGAAATCGTGGGGGGTAGGGGTAGGGTTCGCATGTGGCCCCCTATCCGCTGCAGCCTGCTTGCTGAGGGATCTGTTGGCCCCCAGATCTCTGCCCGAGCCTCGGGGCCCGCCCCTCTCTGGGCTTGCTCTCGGCGGGGCGCGGCCGAAGGGCGCACCGAACCGGTGCCTGAGCGTTGCGTGCGCAGTCGTTGTCGCCCCCCCCCGCGGGACACCGAGTGCGCAGGGCCTACCCAGTGTCGGTGTCGAAGCTGTGTGCGTGCCGTTTCTGTGCTTCACCCCCTCCCTTTCGAGGAGCGCGCTGGACTATGACAGCTGAAAGAGAGCACAGACTGAGAGTAGAAGAGCATAAAATGATGCGCAGGGTGGTGAATACGCCGCGGAGGTACTACGAGCTGGCGGACGGCAGCGTTGAAATCGAATCTTGGGTACAGTGGATCCAACGTGCAACTCGCAGGGCCGAAAACCAATTCCAGAATACAAAGACACCCAAATGGTCAACACAAATATTCAAAAAATAGCCCCCGGACTATCTTTTGCCTATTTTTGAACATTTCCCCTGTAGAGGGGCAGGCCCGACTTAAAGCTACGTAGGCAGGGCACGCCCCTGAGGCGCAGCCCCCTCGGCCCGCGCGCGGGCAGGAGAAGCGCCGGGCGGCGCTGCGATCGGGGCAGCCTGGCCGGCGATGGGATGCACCGCGAGGGGGGCGGCGGCGGGACGGTGGAGCTCGTGGAGTCCCTCTGGGGCAGCGACATACACCCTCGTCCTGGTCTGGATCCCCAGGGGCCATGAGAACTCTCTGCCGCTGAGGCAAAGGCAGGCCACCGAGACATCGGGCAAATGTACCACTGCGACCTCTCAGGCCTGGCAGGTCTGAAGCTCATTTCGGGCACAGCGTGTCTAAGAGCTGGCTTGTCAGTCTCTCGCTTGTTGTTGCCAATATATCCCTCTCTCTCTCTTCCCCTCTCTCCATATGAAACACTGAAATGCAATCGACATACAACTCGAACTACGACGCACACATCCACTTGTAAACTTGTAAAGTCAAGTTCGATCTGAGTGTACATAGATTTGAAAAACTAAACATCGACATTGAAATGCAAACCCGCCAACTACCGCTTGCCAAGGGTGAGAAGGCGTGTGAGATGATTGGATACGAGGAGGAGGCCCCGGGTCGCCCAACTACGCGCCTCGTGCACCGCGGTGCGCGACGCGAGACCTCCTTTGCGCCCGCCCGCCGCCCCCCCCGGAGGAGAGCAGTCCGCCCTGGCCCCGACCACCATGTGCGCGCGATCACAGCCGGGAGCTCCTGCCTGGTGTGCCGCGGCGGCCCCCGGGGAGGCGCTGTGCCCTGTGGGCGGATGGCGCGTCGCTCCGCCCTGCGGAAAGGGGAGGCTCGGAAAGGCTCGGGACATTGACGCTCTTGCCATCGCTCGGACGTCCCTGTCCCGTGTGTGTGTGTGTGTGTTTTCGATTTCGTGAGTGCATTTTCCGGGAATGTGATCCAAGATGCTCCTCCACATGGTCCTCGCCGAAAACAAACTACACACGTCTGAGCGATGCCAAGCACTTGGGCGAAGCCGGGACCGAGGACGTGGACCGCGCGTCGCCGGGCGACGCGTGGTGGGCCCCAACCGGCGGCGCTGAGCCACAGCTTCTGACCGAACCTTCGCGCCCCCGCGGGCGACCCCCTGCGCACCTGCGCCTGCCGCCCTCGCCCCCGCCGCTGGCCGGGCGCGCGCCCCCGCCTGCTGCTCCGGGGACGGGCTCCGCTCGGCCTCCGGGCTGGCCTCGCTCCGATGGGGGGGCCGCGGCTCCTTCTCCAGCCTCCTCCTCCTCCTCCTCTTCCTCTTCGTCGTCCTCGTTCCTCCTCCTCGTTCCTCCTCCTCCTCGTCCTCGTCCTCGTCCTCGTCCTCCTCCTCCTCCTCCTCCTCCTCCTCCTCCTCCTCCTCCCGACGGCGGCGGCGGGCCGATGGGTAGCCTCGTGCGCCTGCAGTCTCGCAGGCCTGTGCGCGCCCAGGCGCGAGAACTTCCTGCTCCGAGCGCGCCCCGTCGCACGCCGCTTCCGCTCCCCCCCTCCCGTCGCGCCCTCGCCCTCCTCCTGCTGTGCCCCAGTCGGCGCCGGCTCTTCCCCCGCTGCCCCGGCCGCGGCTCGGGTCCGAGTCGCCGCAGACAAGCAAGCTTGCAGATTCGTTGCTCGCGTGGCGTGTGGCGGCCATGATGGTTGACAGCGGCGTGCGTGATCACCAGAGTCTGGCTCTTCAAGGAGCAGGCTGCTCCTGGGGCATGGTCCGAGGGCCCTCCGCATCCTGGCTCGCATGCAGAGTCTGAAGGCGGCGGTCCCGAGGAGGCCTCGACGGGAGTGTGGGGGCCTCTTCCCCCCCCTCCTCCACACTCGCGCCCCCGCCCTCCGCCCTCCTCCACACGTCCGCCCCGTCCTCCGCCCTCCTCCACACATCCGCCCCGCCCTCCGCCCTCCTCCACTCCCTTCCCCCCCCCACGCCCTCTCCTCCCCCCCCCCCTCCTCCTCCGCACGCCCGCCCCCCGCCCTCCGTCCTCCCCCGCACTTTGCCGCCGCCCCCTTCTTTCCTCTCCCCGCCCGCCCTCCCCACTTCCGACACCGTCCACGCCTTTCCCTCTTTTTGTGTTCTTTGTTCTTGTTGATTCTGCCCCCGCCGCGCCCGGCCGGCCGGCCCCCGCCCGCGCCGCGCGGCGCCCGCCTGCTGCTCCGGGGGCGGGCTCCCATCGGCCTCTGGCGGGCTCGCCTCGCTCCAAACGCTCCTCCTTCTAAAGACGCTCCTCCCTTCTCCTCCTCGTCGTCGTCGTCCTCCCCTCCTCCTCCCCTCCTCCTCCTCCTCCTCTCCACCTCCTCCCTCCCCCCTAACCTCCGCCACCCCCCTCCGCACTCCTCCCCCCTCCCCACCCGCCTCCCCCCTCCCGCCTCCCTCCTCCCGCCTACCTCCTCCCTCCTCCCTCCTCCCTGACCGTACAGCCTGGTCTGTCAGGCGGGCCGCGATCGCAGCCACCGTGGCACCATGAGGAAGGCGGAAGAAGGACAGCATGGGCTCTTCTGGCCACGACGAGCCCCAGGTGGGCTTTGCTTCATCGTCCTGTCTGTACTTCACCGCTGTCGATCTCAACGGATCGGACCTGCATCCAGGTCGGCGGAGGGACGGGCACTGGGGGCCCAACCCGAGTCAGCCAGGGGGTAAAGTCAAGTGGACCGGCTGGAGATCGGTTGCAGATCGCACGCGTGAGAGTAGATACAACAGCACGCCGGCGGCGACCGCCCCGGGAGCAAGGTCAAGCCAGCGTCGCCATCTCTGGCTCCATGGGTATTGGCTGACCCCAATGATCTGAGCCCCGCTCCCCTCCAGACGGCCTTCGGATCACAACTCGGGGCCCAGGGGGGCCGATCGGGACGATTCCCGCCTCCCCGGCACGCCATTGACGAAGCGCAGCCGATGGAAGCCATGCCAGGTCCCGAAAGCCCGCCCAAACCTAAGAAAGTCACGGAACGCTTCCGTGAACGACGAGGCACAGCCGATGGAAACTCAAACCACCCCAGGCCCCGAAAACTTTCCCAAACCGCCCAGACCTTCCAAAACGAAGAGGCGCAGCCGATGGCCCCCGGAAGCCTCCAATCAACTTCCGAGCGCTTCCGAAGACTGCCGAAGACCTCGAAGGCCAGTTGTTGGAGGCTTGGAAAGTGACAGCAACACCAACACAGAGCGTTGCCTCCACCAGGGGAAGATGATCCTCGATTTCGGTGTTGGTGGTACCATTTCCGGCCACCTTGGAAGCCAGAACATTGCCACCATCACCGCGATTCGGGTACCCTTCCCTCGGTGGAGGCACACCGCCGATGATGGTGTCGGTGTCGGCCTCCTGCGATCCCCTGCCCAGCCCGCCTCCGGTGACCATCGGTCCCCGAACCCCCTCGGGGTACCAGCCCGTTCGCTTTTCGACGCGCATCCGGCCGTGGCGACGCGAAGCCCCCCGGTGAGGCCCCGGAAGCACGAGGTCCGCCTGGGAGGGCCGCCGTGGTCTCGGCGGGCCCTCCTCGGACTGCAGAGCGTCTGCCAGCCAGCGTGGGCCCCAGGCAGTGCACTACTACGCAGTGGCTGTGCAGGCTGTGCGGTGCAAGCTAGGGCAAGCTATGCGGTGCAAGCTAGGCTGCAAACTTGTGGTGCAGTGTGCGTGGTGGAGGCTCGAGGCGGCCACGAAGCGGCAGGGGGCGGCAGCATGGCCAAACCTCGCCGGAGCCATCCACATCCCTGGTGACCGAAGTACCCCAACAGTTCTTGGGGTACCTGTACTCCGGGGAGGGTGCCTGCAGCCCAGAGGAGGGGTTCCTGCAGTCCGGGGGGGGGGGGGGGGCACCAGTTAGTCCGGGGTGGGATACCTGTAGTCCGGGGGAAGGGTACCTGTAGTCTGGGGGGGGGGGTACCTGCAGTCTGGGGGGGAACGCGTGTTCACGCGTCAACGCACGCGTGGCTGTAGTCCTGTGGAGGTACCTGCAGTCCGGGGAGGGGAACCTGTAATCCGGGGGGGGGGGTACCTGTAGTCCGTGGGAGGGGTACCTTGAGTTCGGGGAGGGGGTACCTGTAGCCGGGGGGGGGCACCTGCGCCTCGAGCACTTGGGGGCTCCCCTCGACCCTCGATGCTCGATCATCGGTCCTCGATGCTCGATCATCGATCCTCGATCGATCGATCCTCGATCCTCGACTCAGGTGCTCGTTTTCCCTCGGCCTGCGCCCTCCGCACCTTCTGCGCGGCAGGTGCCGCGCCGCCGCGGCCGCAGCGGCGGCCGCCCTCGAGGCCGCGGAGACGGCCGCGGCGGCCGCCGCAGCCGCATCGCGGCCGAACGCTCCGCGCGTAAGGGGCGGAAGGTGCAGGCCGAGGGAAAACGAGCACCCAAGTCGAGGATCGAGGCTCGAGGATCGATCGAGGAGCGAGGATCGATCGAGCATCGATAACCGAGCGTCGAGGATCGAGGGGAGCCCCTAAGTGCAAGTCTTCCGATGGCCGTGGGCGCGCTCGCCTCCGGCGGGCTCGCCTCCGGCGGGCTCGCCTCTGGCTGGCCGGCGCCTGCAGCACCCCCCTGCGCAGCAGCCTCCCGGTGCGCGGGGCGGAGAGAGCCTTGAATTCTTCCACGTCGGCCTCCTTCCTCCTCGTCCTTCCTGCTTGCTACTCCATCCTCGTTCTTCCTGCTCCATCCTCATCCTCCTCCTCCCCCTCCTCCTCCTCCCCCTCCTCCTCCTCCTCCTCCTCCGCTCCTCCTCCTCTTCCTCCTCCTCCTCCTCCTCGACCTCCCCTTCACCTTCTCCTCCTCCATCCTCAACCTCCTCCTTCCTCCTCCTCCTCCTCCTCCTCCTCCTCCTCGTCCTCCATCGTCCTCCTCGTCCTCCTCCCACTTATCACCATCCTACTCCTCCATAGCTCGCCCCTCATCTCCTCATCTCCTCATCTTCCTCATCTCCTCCTCCTCCTCCCCTCCTCCTCCTCCTCCTCCTGCCTCCCATCCTCCTCCTCCTCCCCTCCTCCTCCTCCTCCTCCTCCTCCTCCTCCTCCTCCTCCTCCTACTCCTCCCTCCTCCCCCCCGCCTCCTCCTCCTCCCCCCTCCTCCTCTCCTTCCCCTCCTCCTCCTCCTCCACCTTCCCCTCCTCTTCCACCTCCTCCTCCTCCTCCTCCACCTCCTCCTTCCTCATCCACCTGCCACCATCCTCCTCTCCTCCTTCTCCCTCCTCCTCCTCCTCCTCCTCCTCCTCCGCCCTTCTCCCCTCCCCACCTTCTCCCTCCTCCCTCCCCTCTCCTCCTTCTCCTCCACTCCCTCCCTCTTCTTCCTCCAACTCCTCCTCCTCCTCCTCCCTCCTCCTCCTCCTCCTCCTCCCGTCCTCCTCCTCCTCCGCCTCCTCCTACCTCCTTTTCCTGTCCTCCTCCTCCTCCTCCTCCTTCCTCCTCCTCCTCCTACCACTTTTGCCTCTTTCCATCATCCTCCTCCTCCCTCCTCCTCCTCCTCCTCCTCCTGCTCCTCCTCCTCCTCCTCTTCTTGCTGCTTTCCCCTCCTCCTCCGCCTCCTTCGCCTCCGCCTCCTCCTCCTCCTCTTCTTCCTCATCCTCTTCCTCTTCCTCTTCCTCCTCCCGCTCGGGCTTGAGCGCTACAGAGGCCGCGCGGTCGGCTACTTGCATCTTCCGCGCCGCGGGTGTATGGGTAGAGCCCTGGCGCGCGCACGTGCGCCGCTGGGCTGCGGAGCGGCGGAGCGTCGAAAAGTCCCACTGTCGGAAAAATTCGGCCCTGCTCCTGCGGCGGCAGGGGCCGCCTCCCCGGCAGGAGCGAGGCATGGACAGGCTGCTGTCCGAGGTGGGCCTCATCTTGTTGAGCGTGGCAGAAGAAGTCATCGCGCGGCGGGCCGACGGGGTGACCCTCGATCAGCGCCGAGGTGCTCGGGGAGGTGAGCAGCACGTTCGACTCGGCCAGCCAGGGCCGCGCCCTCTTCGGCCAGCCAAGGCCGCGCCCTCTCCGGCCAGCCAGGGCCGCCCCCCCCCGTTCCCGGACCTTTTACGTCGCAGCACGGCAGGGGCAGTGCGCGCGCATTCCCCCAGACATGCCGTGTGCGCGAAACTTCTCAGGCCAAGGCCCCTGGAGGTCCCGACCCTCTCCCCCGGGGTCGGTTTTTCTCGTCCCGGGTCGCTTCCTGACGGCCCCGAGGCCCGGCGAGGGCCCCCTGAGGCTGAAAATGAGCCAAAACCTCCCGGTGAGGTCCCGACCCCGGGCGCTCGGGGACTGGGGCGAGGAGGAGGAGGAGGAGGAGGAGGAGGAGGAGGAGGAGGAGGAGGAGGAGGAGGAGGAGGAGGAGGAGGAGGAGGAAGAGGAGACAGGAGGAGCACAGGATGAGAAGGAGGAGGAGGAGGAAAGGAGAGGAGGAGGAGGAGGAGGACTCCCCCCGGGGCCCGGTCGCTTCCTGACGGCCCCGAGGCCTGGCGAGGGCCCCCCGAGGCCGAAACCGGGCCAACACCTCCCGCTCTGATCTTTTTTGTTGCCGGGCCGCGAGCGAGCGCGTCCGGGCCCATCGCCCCCCCCCCCCCCCCCGGTCGCCCTCCCGAAGACCCCGGGAGGAGAAGAAGAGGAGTAGGGAGAGGAAATGAGGAGGAGGGAAGAAAGAGGGAGAAGGAGGAGGAGGAGGAGGAGGTGGAGGAGGTGGAGGAGAGGGGGGGGGGAGGGGGGGAGAGATGAGGAGGAGAGGAGGAGGCGGAGGAGGCGGAGGAGGAGGAGGAGGAGGGGAGGTGGAGGGAGGAGGAGGAGGAGGAGGAGGAGGAGGAGGAAGGAGGAGGAGGAGGAGGAGGAGGAGGAGGAGCAGGAGGACGCGAGCAGCGCCCGAACTCAGGCGGCCGCCGCGGCGCACGCCGGCTGCACACGGTGGGGGGCCGCGGCTCGGAGAGAGGCGCGCGGCGCCGTGGAGGCCCACTGCGCGGGCGAGTTCGTCGGCCGAGGCTCCCTGGACCGCATCACGGCGTGCACGTCGTCGTCGTCGTCGTCGTCGTCGTCGTCGTCGTCGGCGTCGTCGTCGTCGTCGTCGTCCCTCGTCCGTCGTCGTCGTCCCTCGTCCGTCGTCGTCGTCGTCGTCGTCGTCGTCGTCGTCGTCGTCGTCGTCGTCGTTGTCGTCGTCGCGTCGCCCTCTGCCCTCCTCCGACTCCCCCGCCGTCCTCCAGGGGGGATGGGGAGCAGGTGGAGGGAGTGAAGAGAGGGGGGGTACTGGATGGGGAAGGAAGGGGGGACTGAGGAGTGGGGTAAGATGAGTGGGCGGGGGGGGACAACGCAGAGCGAGGCAATAGCATGTGCGGCGCGGCGTGAAGCGGGCAGGCGAGCCAAGGGAAGGTCCGCAACACGTGTGGATATGCACAGCGCGCGGTAAGGACAGGGCAGGCAAGGCAAGGCCGAGAACACCTGGACACGACACAGCACCACGCGACGCTTCGCGGCTCGGCACGCCCAAGCGAGGTTGGACAGGCTGTGGCGGGACAGGGCGACACGACAGGACAGGGACATACAAGACACGACAAGACCCGCCGCGCCATGGCAAGATGGGTCAAGACAACGGACGCCAGACGGGATGGAACATATGCAGCGCACACTATTACGACACACAAGGGAAGACGGAACGACATTAAGGGCGGCGACGAGACTTGGCAATGCACTACAGGACCAAGCAGGACAGGACGTGGCACGAGAGCGAGAGAAAGAGATAGAGATAGAGAGGTAATGAAAAACGGACGAGGGCACGATGGATCACTCTGTTGCACGCGTAAAAACGAGTCGCTCAAATGACGCACCGCCATGCGCACTGGCTGCTTCGACGTGGTGACGTCCAGGGTCGTTGGCGCTAGGGTCACTGCAACGTCGACCGCGCCCACCCGTCCCCAGGGTCCTTTAATCTCCGCTTTGCCGCCGCCTTCTCCTGAATGGCAGCGCGCCTTGCCCCGAGCGGCCCTCCCATGCGCCAGCGAGTGGTGGGGGACACGCTGGACAGAAAGGGGAAACAACCTGAGGACATAGTAGGCTGCAGGGCACGCCCTCCTCCTCCACGCACCCGCGTGACGAGAACACGCCCACGCGGGCTCAGCACGGACCTCGCACCACGAGAGTGAACGCGAAGGAATCGATCCGAAACAATGGATTCTGAGGATGTCTTCGGCGAGGGAGAACATTCAAACCTGTCCGCCTTCCATCCACCCTTAGCTGTGGGAAGCACTCAGTAGTACAACCATATACGGCGAAGGCAGATACAACTAGAACAGGGCTTGCGGCTGCTCCAATGTATCTGAGCTCGCAACTATACAGAGGGAGGGGGGAAGCGAGAGAGAAAGAGAGAGAGAGAGAGAAACACACACACGATATCGGAGGAGAGAGGGCGGGAACTCGATGTTGAAAGAGGGACGGGCCTCCGTCTGCGTAGCGGTTTGACGTCGAAGTTACTGTCGAGCTGTAGCTCGCGGAACCAGTCTCACACCATAATGAGAAGTGGACGAGGGACATTTCAGTCATCACCGGTGTAGATGTTGAGGGCTTCGATGCCAGCTGTTGAAATCTGGGGGGCAGCTCGATGTCGCGAGCGGCTCTTCCTCCATCTGTGCAGCTGCTGGCTGGTGGCTTAAAAATAAAAAAGTGCGTGAGTCTTCATACTGTCTCTGAAAGAAGGAGAGGAGGAGGAGAAGGAGGAGGAGGAGGAGGAGGAGGAGGAGGAGGAGGAGGAGGAGGAGGAGGAGGAGGGGGAGGAGGAGGAGGAAGGTTAGTATGTAAGGAATGACGGATGGAATTACAGAGTGAGTAGTGAGGAGGATTGTCACGGATTAGCCCTTAGGCCGTGGACGGGCTCACACACCTCAGCTAATAATCAACCTTAGTGGGGGGGAAAGTCCTGGGGGTCTGGTCGATGCGAGAAACCTGCCGCGCGGCCTAAAACGGGGGGCGAAGGACAGCAATGATATTGAGGTGCTGAGTGAGGAGCTCCGGTCGATGCTCCACCTCTCTATCGCCTTCTCTGTCCACCACCCCCACCTCACCCCATGCCCTCTGGTGATCTGGTCACACCGGGGCTCTTACAGGCTGGCATCCCAAGTCGGGGAAGCGAACTTGCCTCCGCAGTGGTCCGCACACATACTGAATCTGTAGCCGTGCGCTGCCCAGCGGTTCCCTTTAGGGGAGCAATCGGACCCCTAATGAGTCCGCGCGCCTCGCTGCCGCTGAATTTCAGGCACGGCCAAAACAGCCTCAGTGCACCGGTAAACTGCCCAACTCACCGGTGTTCTCTCCAGGCACGGCCGACAGCCACCCGTTGGGAAAACCCGACATCATGACGGGCGAGATGCGAGCACGACAGCGCGACTCATGAGGGGCACAGTCCCCAGCATGAGGGGGGGAACAACTCCCCAGCATGAGGGGTCACCTTTCTGTACCCCTTTGGCGTGGCTGGGGAATGGCATTTGCCCCAGCCCGCGCTCGGACTCCACCCTCCTCTAACCCCCTCTGGCGTGGCTGGGGAATGGAATTCGCCCAAGCCGCGCTCGGATATAGGGTATGCGACTGTCTACGCATGTTGCTGCGTATCGCACAAAGCTGCTATCCCACTCAGTGGGATCGTTGATGCCGTAGCTGCTGTCCCACTTAGTGGGCTTGTTAGCCTAACACGTGCTGTCCACCGCTGCCTATTGCTACCCGGACCCCAGGGGTCTTCCGTGACACTCAGAGCGGGCGGACCAAACATGCCCCCCCTCGGGGTCACGAGGCGCTGAACTTGGATGATACGAAACTGGGGAGAATGTATCCCTCTCTTGCTACGGCTTCTACCCCAAGGGTATTCCGTGACACCCAGAGCGGGCGGTGATTTGTCCCCCCTCGGGATCGCGAGGCGCCGATCCTGGATGATACGAAAATGGGGAACGTGTATCCCTCTCCTGCTGCGGCTTCTACTACTACTCGGGCCCCAGGCGGGATCGGCAAGAGGGCAGGGAGGAGAGAGGGTGGAAGAGAATGCTCGAGATTCCAATGCAAAGCTAGCGTGCTTCACGTAGTGCTGGTAGGCCAGAGGAGGGGAGGAAATGACGGCGACGACGACGACAACGACGACGACGAAGCCGACGTCGACGCCGACGCCGACGACGACGACGACGACGACGACAACGACGACGACGACGACGACGACGACGACGACGACGGCGGCGGCGGCGGCGGCGGCGGCGGCGGCGGCGGCGCCGCCGCCACGGGCAACTCACAAGCAAGCGCTGGGAGGTGCAGCGGCAGGCGGCTAGATCGATGTGCGCGACGATGGCTGCGCGCGCGCGACGTCTGACAAGCTGATCCAGTCGAATCAGCGGGTCAGGGGCTAACTTGAACTTGCCACGCAGTGGTCCTTAGTCCCCGACCCTCTAGGCAATGGGTAGAGCGATGTGCATGACGATGGCTGCGCGCGCGGCGGCTGACAAGCTGATCCAGTCGAATCAGCGGGCCGGGGGCTAACTTGAACTTGCTACGCAATGGTCGTTCGCCCCCGTCCTTTCAAACAATGGGCATGAGGTGGCAACACATTGAATTGAAAACTGGTCCGGTCGATTCAGCGGGCCGGGGGCTACCGCGAACTTGCTGCGCAATGGTCCGTAGTCCCCGACCCTTAAGGCGAAGCGGCGGCAAACAAAAAACATGATGCACATACCGGCCACCCGCGTGGTGGTTACTGCAGTGAGCTTTTCAACAACTTGGCCAGGTGGAGTGGGAGGGGGAGGAGGAGAAGGAGTGGGAGGGGGAGGAGGAGGAGGAGGAGGAGGAGGAGGAGGAGGAGGAGGAGGAGGAGGAGGAGGAGGAGGAGGAGTAGAGGGAGGAGGTAGGAGGAGGAGGAGGAGTAGGAGGAGGAGAGGAGGAGAGGAGGAGGAGGAAGGAGAGGTAGGGGATGTAGGTTGAGTTAGAGCAACAAGGGAAACGACAGCAGAGCGGGGAGGCAGAATAGCAGGACGGACGGGGCCGAGATGTAGGATGTCTTGCGGCGGGAAAATCAAAATACACATCGACGACCCACCAACCCGCATGTGTAGGAGCACATCGGCATACAACCCGAAATGCAATTCGGACTATAAAACACGAGCAAGTCGGATCGCACATCGAAAAGCAATTCGATATCGAGAAATACATACGCGCACACCGCATTGTGCATTGGTTCGCAAATCGCGGTGCAAATCGCACTCGAAGTTGAACCGCAATCCGACCTGCGCATCTCAGTCCAACTAGACATGCGCATGTACTCAACAAACATCGAACTGCACACCGCAAGCCGAACTGCACCTCAGTCTGGAGCCCGAGCCTCACATCGAACGTGAACATCAAAAACTCGATCGACATGCATATCGACATGCGGTTCGAGACGCAGCCCTCAGTGCAAGCACGACGCGCAAACGTACTGTGCTCGAGCTGCCACCCGCGGCTGAAACACATGCCGCCGAGCAGGAGGGGAGGGGGGGAGATGCGGACAAGGAGGGGGGGGGAGATGCGGACAAGGGAGGGGGGGTAGGGGCGGCCAATGAAGGGAGGGGGACAAGCAGCGCAGGGGCGGCAGGGGGTGGAGAGGGGCACTTCGGGGGCCGGGGGGGGGAGAGTCTGGAGGACGATGTATTTTGCATTGGCGGTGGCGCCTTGAGCCACCGTGCGCTACGGAGGCCAGCTGTGTGAAACACGACAACGATCATGCCCTGATCTGGAGTCTCACTGGTAAAGGGGCCCAAGGACACACAAACAAATAGACACAAATAAGAGGATTCCCCATATTTCCCCAATATTATCTGGGTTTTTGTCTCCCCCCCCACTTCGCATATTTTCCCATATTTTCTGGGGGGTCGACGATTCATTGTGTCTGTGTGTTTTTGTTCCTTCCTGAACTGGGGGGGACAGGGCACGGCACAGGCCAATGGGGGAGCGAAGGCGCTGCGGCGGGCGGAGACGTGAGACGACACCAGGGGGGTGGAGGGGGGTCACCGGGAGAGGGGAGGGGGACAGCCCTGAGATTCGTCGTCGTCGTCGTCGTCCTCCTTCTCCTCCTCCTCCGTCCTCCGTCCTCCTCCTCCTCCTCCTCCTCCTCCTCCTCCGTCCTCCGTCCTCCTCCTCCTCCTCCTGGTTCTTTTCCTCATGCACCTCGCGGCTTCGCCAGGACCTCAAGGGGCGCAGAGAGCGGGGGCGAGGCCCACTCCCCGGCAGCTCCCCGCCTCTTGGCGTTCTCCTCCTCGCGCGCCTCCTTGTTGCCCCGCCTGGCGGCCGCCTTCTCGCGGATCTGCTCCTGGGCGCCGCAGGGGGGGGAAGGGGCGGCTGGAGAGTCACGGGGAGGGACGGGGGAGAGAAAGAGAGAGGGTCCCCCTCTCTCTCTCTCTCTTTTTTTTTTTTCTCTCTCTCTCTCTCTCTCTTTCTCTTTCTCTTTCTCTTTCTCTTTCTCTTTCTTTCTCCCAGAGAGAGGGAATGTTTTCTGGACTGCGCCGCTGGGGAGAGCGGGGGGGAAGGGAATGAGGGAGGGAGGGGGAGGGAGAGAGACATGGAGAGGGGTGGATAGATGGATTGGGCAAGGAGAGGGGGAATGGAGGACGCAAGCGACACGGACCTCTGGCGGCCGTTCGGGGCGATCTGGGCACCCCCGTCACGCCGCCGGCGAGACGCGGCTGCTGGAGAGCACCCTCGGGGCGAAGGGACCTCCCCAAACGGAGGAACACACCCTGGTCGTGGTTTTGCTCCTCCTCCTCCTCCTTCTCGTCCTCCTCCTCCTTCTCCTCCTCCACCTCCCTCCTCCTACCTCCTCCTCCCTCCTCCTCCTCCTCCTCCCTCCTCCGTCCTCCTCCTCCTCCTCGCTCCTCCTCGCTCCTCCTCGCTCCTCCACGCGCTCCTCCTCGCTCCTCCCTCGCTCCTCCTCGCTCCTCCTCCTCCTCCTCCTCCTCCTCCTCCTCCTTTCTCCTCCTCCTCCTCCTCCTCCTCCTCCTCCTCCTCCCCCCCAAACGGGGAGGAACACACCCGAACACCACCGAAGGCGCTCCGATAACCTCCGAGAGCCAGCGAGAAGCATCCGAGGACCTTCCGGCCGCTGGGGGGGGCCGCCCATTCGCAGGGGCGGCGCTGCGCCCCCTTCACAGGCCGCCCAGACGCACGCAGGGCGCGGCCGAGCTGCTAGGCTGCAGACAGGCGCTGGGGGATCATGAGCCTCCCCAGTCCTTCTCGTTGTCGTGGTCGTGGTCTTGGTCCTCCTGCCTCCTCCTCCTCCTCCTCCTCCTCCTCCTCCTTCTCCTCCTCCTCTTCCGCCCTCCTCCTCCTCCTCCTGCTCCTCCTGCTCCTCCCTCCTCCTCCTCCTCCTACTCCCTTCCCTCCTTCCTCCTCCACCTCCTCCTCCTCCTCCTCCTCCCCCACCTCCCTCCTTCTCACTCGCAGCCTCCTCCTTCTCCTCGCCCCTCCCCCCCCTCCTCCTCCTCCTCCCCACCTCCTCCCTCCTTCTCCTCCTCCTCCTTCCTCCTCCCGACCTCCGTCCTCCGACTGGAGCCTGTAAAAGCCAGGACGTTTTCATATATATATTAATATATATTAATATATATATAAATATATATATAAATTTGAAAAAATAATCATTTTACACACAGATTCCACAGAAATCAAAGAAGCCAATTCAAACTATCAGAAACATACAAGCTGAAGATAAGTTAAAAGCAAGATTTCGCCTAGCACATCTGCTAAAAAGTAAGCTTGGAAGGCTGCTTCCTAAGGATGTCTCAAGCGAAACCTTGATTATTGGAGAATTCTTTGGATTTTCATTTCTGGGGAAAGTCCGGCAACAAAAACAAATTCCGCTGGATCTTCAAAAAACCAAGGTTTCGCTTGAGACACCCTCCAAACTTTCACTTTCCCCCTATTGGTTTTTGCCCGATGTCTCAGGCGAGACCTTGATTTTCAATAAGGTTTAATCTAAAAATCAAGGTTTCGCCTGAGACATCTGTCAAAAAGTGAAGGTGGAAAGCTACTTTTCTGAGGATGTCTCAAGCGAAACCTGGATTATTGAAGAATCCTTTGGTTTTTTCATTTCTGGGGGAATCCGACGGCCCGAGAAAGTCCGGCGAAAACAAAAAATCCGCTGGATCTTCAAAAAACCAAGGTTTCGCTTGAGACACCCTCCAAACTTTCACTTTCCCCCTATTGGTTTTTGCCCGATGTCTCAGGCGAGACCTTGATTTTCAATAAGGTTTAATCTAAAAATCAAGGTTTCGCCTGAGACATCTGTCAAAAAGTGAGGGTGGAAAGCTACTTTTCTGAGGATGTCTCAAGCGAAACCTGGATTATTGAAGAATCCTTTGGTTTTTTCATTTCTGGGGGAATCCGACGGCCCGAGAAAGTCCGGCGAAAAAAAAAAAAAAAGTCCGCTGGATTTTAAAAAAAAAAAAAAAAAAAAAACAAGGTTTCGCTTGAGACACCCTCCAAACTTTCACTTTTCCCCTATTGGTTTTTGCCAGATGTCTCAGGCGAAACCTTGATTTTTAGATTTAACTTTAGTGAAAATGAAGGTTTCGCCTGAGACATCGGGCAAAAACCAATAGGGGAAAAGTGAAAGTTTGGAGGATGTCTCAAGCGAAACTTTTTTCTTTTTTTCGAAAATCAAGCGGATTTTTTTTTTTTGTTTCGCCGGACTTTCTTGGGCCGTCGGATTCTCTCAGAAATGAAAAACCAAAAAGGATTCTTCAATAATCAAGGTTTCGCTTGAGACATCCTCAGAAAAAGTAGCCTTTCACCCTCACTTTTTGACAGGTGTCTCAGGCGAAACCTTGATTTTTAGGTTAAACCTTATTGAAAATCAAGGTTTCGCCTGAGACATCGGGCAAGCACCAATCGGGGAAAAGTGAAAGTTTGGAGGGTGTCTCAAGCGATCGCCGGATTTTCTCGGGCCGTCGGATTCCCCCAGAAATAAAAATCCAAAGGGTTCTCCAATAATCAAGGTTCCGCTTGAGACATCCTCAGAAAAGTAGCCATCCACTATACTTTTTGCCCGATGTCTCAAGCGAAACCTTGGTTTTCAGTAAAGTTAAAGCTAAAAACAAAGATTTCGCTTGAGACATCGGGCAAAAACCAATAGGGAAAAAAGTGAAAGTTCGGAGGGTGTCTCAAGCGAAACCTTGTTTTTTGAAAATCCAGCGTTTTTTTTTCGCCGGACTTTCTCGGGCCGTCGGATTCCCCCAGAAATAAAAATCCAAAGGGTTCTCCCATAATCAAGGTTTCGCTTGAGACATCCTCAGAAAAGTAGCCTTCCACTATATTTTTTGCCCGATGTCTCAAGCGAAACCTTGGTTTTCAGAAAAGCTAAAACTAAAAATAAAAGTTTCGCTTGAGACATCGGGCAAAAACCAATAGGGGAAAAGTGAAAGTTTGGAGGGTGTCTCAAGCGAAACCTTGTTTTTTTTTGAAAATCCAGCGGATTTTTTTTTTGGTTGCCGGACTTTCTCGGGCCGTCGGTCGGCGATCCCAGGGGCCAATCACTTCGATCGGACACATTTGGGATAACGATCGGTGCATTCGATCAAAGAACATCAATCGGCCGATCTCTCTCTCTCTCTCTCTCTACTTTGTTCCAGGTGACCGGGGGCATATGGCCTTGGAAGAAATTCGAACGCCCAGCTCCGCGCGCGTGCTCAGTCGCAGCAAACAAGGATGGCCACGCGCTGGCGGTTATCCCTCTCCTGCTACAACTAATGTTATATATATGGGCTGGAATTACTCGGGGAATCGCCCACCGAAGAATTTGACCCGTCGACGAACCCTCTCGGGCACGACAGCGTTGATCTGGCGAACTGTCCACTGCGGAAGATTTCGCATGCGCGCGCGGCCCCCGCCGACCTGAGGGGGCCCGCCGTACTATTGGCGATCGCTGAGATCGATCACTGCGATCGGGCACATGAGGAATAGCGAGCGATGCCGTCGATCAACGGATCTCACTCAGGCTACGCATCACGACATGTTGCGAGCTTACTTTCAGGGTGCGCCTTCGCAAGACTCTGCCCACCGAGCCACGCGCATCCCTTGAGTCGCTGCAAGACGTGCATCAGCGCACGAAGGCATTCACCTGCATCACGCTAGAAACCGCGATATCTTATGAAGCTGGAACAAAACCAGGCATCGCGATCCCAAGATAGCGGTTGACCAACGAGCCCCGTCCGTCGACTGCGATCTAAATGTCGGAGCCTCATGAAGCTTGTACACGCTGAACTTCATGACGCGCCACATGTCGATGCCGCGCCACCACCTTCAAGCGCGGGAGGAGGGGGGGCAGAGGATGAAGAGGAAGTCGGTGATCTGAGGATTGAGAGCCGCTGCGCAGAGGACATCGAGCATAGTCCTCAATCCCAGCTCGCCATTCCCCGACCGTGGCCGACTGCGTTGTCGCGATCGCATGGGGGGCACCGCTGACTGACGCAGCAATGAACGCGGATGCGATTGCCGAGGATAAGCGCCTGCGCGAGCCCATCTTTTCCGCGATTCCGAACGGATGAGTGCTGTGGAGATATGGGCGACGCGCAAGGAAGAAAATTTCCAGACAATGCTCCAGTTACATAGAGAGAGCGCATCTGGCTGCTATCGGCCGCCGCCAATCGTCGCGCTCCCAGCCGACGCAGGCGAGGGACAGCGCGGCGCGGGTGCTGAGGTCGACGAAGTTATGGTCGTCCTGCGGCGGGGCCGTGAAAACTAGATCGAGAACAAACGGCGCCCACGCGGATATTCAAACCGCCCAAAGAACATATGATTCTGTCTGGAGTTTTCAGAAGCGGAGGTGTTCCTATGAGTCGCGCAGAACTCATCTACCAATGTCCTGAATCGTAATGTGGACGACCTTGTCTCCACAGAAGTTGGCACTCCGCAGGTCAACGTGGCCGTAGATAACCTGCCAGCGACAGAGCAGGAGGAACGAAATTCACAACGCCTGGCTCATTCGTGCGACTGACATCAAATCGCACGTAGCAAGAACATGGGTAGCCTAAGACCTAACTGACATCGACGCAACAGGAAACTGCATGCAAGGCGCCGTTCGAACTTCCCAGAACCCCGCCGCGGATCTCCAGCGGCGGCCCGGACGCCTCCGCCGCATCGTGCGCCTCGTCTGCAAGTCGCCCGCAGGCCAACGAAGGCGACTTGCTGAAGCTGCAGATGCGGTCGCCGCCAGGCGGGGTCATCTGCGCGCGGATGGAGAGAGAGGGCAGGGGGGCAACTATGCGCCGCTGTCGCGTCTGGCCGACGCTCGCCAGAGCCGCGAGAATGGCGCGCTCTCT